GAATTCTTTTTTTTTGGATCTGGGTGTCAGACTCCTTCATCAGCTATGTGCATATGTCACATAAAGAAGTCAAAACTAAATTGAGGCTTTTGAATGTTTTTTTTTTTCCACTGAATAATATTGATAATAGGGAAATTTTGCCAAAAATACAACAAAAAAATATAATTTGAAAACTAACAAAAAACCCCAAATTCAATGGCCTACATTTGCCACATACCCCATTTTTCTAAATTTTTTAATTTTCTTTTTTTTTTAGTTATTCACCAAAAAAACCCTTGATAATAAAGATCCGAAAAAGTTACAACACATATGAAAAATAGAGAGAATAAACCACAGAGAATACAACTATCTTTCCTTAACCTACAACTAGAAGAGGAAGAAAATTTAATGAAACATTGCTAAAACTAAATACATCTTGTTCCGAAACTTTCGAATCTCACTGCAAGGACTTCCCGCACAACAATTGTGAGGACGGGCTTCACACTTGTGGCAATAACAAGAGAGCAAACTTGGCCATCTCCGCATAAGATACAACTTTTTCCATGAGAGTAAAAGTTCTCATGAATGAACTAGATAAGAACCGCTAAAACCTTTCAATGCCACAACGATCAGTAATAAACCAACTTTCACTTAATATCAGAGAGATAACACACCAGAAAATACCAAAACTCAACCCCAAACTAACAACTATTTAACTAGTCGAGGAAGAGAAGCGTAGCCCAAACGAGGGAAACAACTAAACTTAAGCATCTGATTTTACCAAATCTGACGAGGATACAAAGGAGGAAGACAGTAGAGACGAGGGAGATATTGGTTATCAAGGCCACGATCTAATGTTGCACATATTCGCCGAGGCAAGATGAAAACGAGCCGTCGCGAGAAGAAACTCAGCGAAGAGAACGATAGAGCAGATGTTAATCTAGTCGTGACTCCACTCCGAGATCCGCAAGCGAGAACTGCGACTCAGTGATAGAGCAGAAGCAACAGATAAACAACTCAACCAAGAGATTCAAGGAATCCTCGCTTGGGACCTGCCAGCTCAACCAAAGGATTCAAGAATCCTCGC